TTTTCTTTCAATCCGAGGATTCGAAGACCTTCCTTCGTCTTCACTCAACTGAGGGCAACGTACGCCATGGCTTTGGCGAAATGGCGTAAGGCTAGTTGAATGCTGGCCATGTGAAGCGTCAATTCCTGACATTTATGAAATACCAGGGCCCAACAGAGGACAATTGGAAGCATCCTACGTTTAATTAGAGTCTAACGATTTCCTAAAATAAGAGGAAACAAATTATAAGATGATAGCGAATTATGCGAATAAATATTTATATGATCTTAATCTCACCAACGAATTCAAATGTAACCGTGTCGATTTTAACGTATCCGTTGAGATCCCTGTATGCACCGCCAGCATCCCCATCAAATCGAATTATCACAGCCTCAGGCAGGTCTTCATCCTGTAATTGTTCGTCTCTCAAAGCTGTCCACTTCAGACCAACGACAGTACCAACACTTCCGTTGACTAGCCCTGATTAATAGTTATTTGTTTAATACTAAAATGATTTAGACAAATTATTAAATATAGAAAACTACCATTCATCAGACTCTTGTTTCTAATTAGCATCACCCTACTTCCCACCCCAAGTTGAATATTTGATGGGATCCCTGCCGTAAATCTATCATTGTTGGGTATAAGATTATCCGGGCAACGTTGATCGAATTTGTTTCCATCTGCAAATAAATCCAGTGCCTTGATATTATAAATATTCGGGTTTCTCTTCCGTAACTCTTCAGTTCTCTCAGCATTATGCTGTTTAACTCCCTTCTTGTCTGGGAATGACAGAGCATCGGCAAATTTCGCTGCCATTTCCATATCATGCGGGTCTTCCTCGTTAAAAATTCTGGACTCGGTGAGTAAGATCCACATATGTTAAATAATACTGTGATCATTAACCGATGTTGAAAAAATAACAAAAACAGTGAAAAAGATTAAATTTATTTCAACCCGGCGGTACTAAATATATCACGCAAATCATTAAACTGGACATTCTTCGGTAGCATTACCTATAATTTTCTGTTTTATATAGAAATGAGTTCTTATATGCAATAGATTTAGCATATGACAAATACAAACACTGCAACAAATGCAGTGTAGATTTTTAAAAAAATACGCAATATTAGTTTTTAATCCCGAAGTATAGACATTTCATAAAAGTAAGAGGAACGTTGAGAATCGTTTAAAAATTAAATCGTTCTCTAACTGTTCTAGCTTAAAGTCGAGCAAATTCTAGATACTAATTCCTAGAAATCATTCATTTTCAAATTTGACCTGAAATATTTTGATTTTTCTAGCCACCACAAATGCCTCAAGAAGCGTTGGTGGTACAGTGTGGAGCATATTAATAGGCGATGCGGTTTTTTTGCTCTAACTTTGGTACTGGAGTTTCAAATTGCCCCAAATTTGACAGTGCAACGTAAGATAGCATCATTTAATGAAAACATGAGTATGACACATCAGGTACTAAGGGAATATTTTTTAGGCGAAAAAACTCTAACAACGAGTGGTGCAAAATAATAGGCGATTTTAACTTTTTTGTTTTTAATTTCGTACTCGTTGTATTGAACAGATTCCGTTAAATTGAAATCCATCTAAAACACTTCAGGGCATCTCGTAGATAAGAAATTGGCCCACAAATTCTGCTCCGTAAGGAAAACAGTAGGTTTCTGGTCATCACTTTCACCACTTTCACCCATCCTTTGAAAATCATCTAATCACAGGATTTAAGATCATTATGCGTACTTCTAAATTTTTATACATTACATTCCTACATCCCTCAATAACTTTATACCAGATTCTGATCGGGTAGCGTGACTGTCTAAGTTGATCATGTATTGTCTGTTCAACAAAGTAAACCTTAAGCCGCCTTTGGCTCGAAGAAACTTCCTCAATGGCTTCATCTATCCTCTATTCATTTCAAATTTTGACTACCAAGTGCAAGAGGTGTTGCGAAAGAAGCGTGCCATTGGATTTCAAATTTCAGCCGGCAAAACTACTTAAAATATAATGGACCGTTTTGTTACGGCAGTCCATCAATTGTCCTTTTGCAGACTGGGAAGAATCTATACGATCTAGTTCAACGAGTGAAAGATAGCGATCAGAAATACTTGATACAATTGTATTAATTGGATTTAGTACCCTTGTAGACACGAATAATTTTTTTACCTAGTTCCAAATGGATTTGGCTCAATTGGTACATTTACCATATGCGTCGTGCGAATAAGCAATCTTGCCTTCGTTGTGCTCAGCGTTGGACTTCTGTATACACACAAACCTACTGTAGGATCATTTCTTGTACACGGGTGTTAAATTTGAAGCCTAGAATTTCATTTATTAAAACGCTGTGCAGGTATTCTGGTACCCTGTGTAACTAACCCATACTTTCTCCGATGGAGAATATATGATCAAGGCAGGCCAGTCGTGCTATCGGATCAGAATCTGGTATAAAACCATTGAGGGATGTAGGAACGTAATGTATAAAAACTTAGAAGTACGCATAATGATCATAAATCCTGTGATTAGATGATTTTCAAAGAATGGGTGAAAGTGGTGAAAGTGATGACCAGAAACCTATTGTTTTCCTTATGGAGCAGAATTTGTGGGCCAATTTCTTATCTAGGAGATGTCCTGAAGTGTTTTAGATGGATTTCAATTCAACGGAGTCTGTTAAATACAACGAGTACGAAATTACAAACAAAAATGTTAAAATCGCCTATTAATTTGCACCGCCCGTTTTTAGATTTTTTTCGCCTAAAAGATATTCCCTTAGTACCTGATGTGTCATACTCATATTTTCATTGAATGATGCTATCTTACGTTGCACTGTCAAATTTGGGGCAATTTGAAACTCTAGTACCAAAGTTAGAGCAAAAAAACCGCATCGCCTATTAATATGCTCCACACTGTAACTGCATACGTCATTAAATGAAAATCTTGAATCAATTTTTTGACTTAAAAGCCACCAAAAATAAACTCTACGCACGTCTCGTCCACCACAAAGAAGTTCTTGATCATCAGCTTGATGCCCAGGATTTGCCCACGCGTACTCAGGTTCCCTCCAAAGGGACCCTCTCGTCGGAGGGTTTAATACGCGACCATGGCCGCTAACTTGGCCACATCCCAGCACTCCAAAAATGAGGCAGATTGCCCTAACAACTTTAAGAGGTGTCATTCTATCGAAAAAAATCACTTTCCGAACGTAATGATAGTCTACTGAGATTGTAAACCTAACTAATTCCAACTCCGTGCCGGATTTTATTTATATTGAGCAGGAATATTCACCCGAACTCTTAAATTCTGAATGGTGCAGATTACGCTCTGATGATAAGGATTCGATAGATACACTCTTAAAAGTAATGTCATCCTTTGGAAAAGCAAATCGTCATACTAATTCTGAAAAGACGTAAGTGCACACGATGATTAATCTGAAACGACCTAAGTGCATTTGGTGTTTAATTCTAAAAATACATAAAAAATACATCAATGTTAAAAGGCTGCACTTAGGTCTTTTCAGAATTAAGTGTCGACTGCACGTAGGTGTTTTCAGAATTGAGCATCGTGTCACTTAAGTCTTTTAAGAATTAGTACAACGAAATGCATTATCAATTCTGTACATGGGTTGTGGAAACCATGGGGACATTGTAGTTTAAGTGAGGGATAGGTTCAAATAACAACTTGTTATTAACAAGTAGAGATGATATGGACATCGAATAACTGTGGGGACAATTAATTTGTCATGCTTATCTATTTACGTAAATTCATGCACCAGTGATAATTAGATTAGATTGTGTATTTTCAAGGGTGGGATGGCTACATATGTAGACTCATTAATTAATGGGTATGTATGAATGTATTTACGGTCCACAACACAACCGCAGCAATGCAGACGTGTTTATGTACAGGGTGGATTGTTTAAATGTTACGATATAATTGAAAAATTTGTAAAAGAGAAAAGCCCTTAATCTAAATACTTTAGTTACAACATTTTGGGTTTTTGAGATTTTTTATTAATTGTTATAAAAAAATTGATGGAAGATAAATTTCTTCAAAAGTTGAATTTTAGAGAAAATTTTGTACGCAACTAATGGAAATTTACGAATTTTTCATGTTAAAGAATTTCCAAGTGTAGCGAATTATTTAAACCACCCTGTATATACCGCTCAGACCACCTTAACAAGGAAATTATTTTTTAGCAAAGTTTGAGAGTGAACATACCTATTTAATCCGTATGTATGAATGTAAAGGGATGTGCATAAATTTCGTAATGGGCTGGAAGGGTATCCAGACTGTTAAAAATGTGGTGAAATCACGTTTTTACATATACACTGGTACATATATATTTGGATAGATAATTCTTCTTGGATTGGTAATAGTTTTTTTCCAAGTGGTAAAAAGTTGTCATTTCTACAAGGGAATACATTATTACTTCATTACTTTTCGGTAATGCCCTTTATTATCGTGCCGGTGAAGTCAATTATATAAGTATGTACTCAGGCTCAGTCAAATTTTGTATTAGCTTGTAGTTTAAAGAAGGTTGTTTCAATCTGCCCCAGTACGTTTAAGTAACCCCTGGGAAACCCACACATACCTAAAAACACAAAAAAACCCCAAAAAACCCAGAAAACTACATAACCCAAAAACCCCAAACACGCTAACCTACAAAAAACTCCAGGTTGCGTAAACTGCATCCCGACTGATACGTGCTAATTGGGCACAACTTTATTCAATTTTGGCAGTTCATCCTCGTATTTTTAAGCAATCAAGGTACCCAAATTATGACTGGTTAGATACATAAGCAATACATGTTAAATTTTATGGCCTGATTAATAAGTTGCAAAGTAAAGTGAGCGTCTACGCCCTGCGATTTTCTATAAATACGTGCGAAGCTCCAGACACGGAGCCATCCTTCCAAATTTAATCTTCAATTCACTACGCTCGCTGAAACTCAAATCCTCCCGAAAAAAAAGCTTTTGAGTGAATCCCTTTCATAAAAGTGTAAGCTTGTTATAAAAATGGGAAAAGAAGCGTACGCAACGTTTGCGCGTAACCCGGGCGAAGTTGAAGACGCCATAATTTTCCTCAAATCCATCAAGGAAACGAAAACATTCAAAAAAGTTTTGATCTTGTATGATCCTAGGATTGGACTCAGCTCTTGGTAAGTGTCACATGGTCGTAAATAAAGTTAGGTTTCCTGGCAGGGTTCGCTACCCCGGGTTTTTTGTGGATTCTTGGGAATTTTGATATTTTTTGGTAAGAAGGTTTTGGGGAGAAGATTTAAGGGCAGATTGAAGCAAAATCCTTTCTGCTACAACTTAGATTAATATGATTTAAAGTTATGGATAACTTCCAAGTACCGTAAAAAACGGAATCCAAAATTGCTCACAAATTTTCGAAAACTGTTCGAAATTTTTCTCAAAATTTTGGGGAAATTTCTGGAAAATTTGTTCCTCTTTCCCGACAAATGGGTTTGTACGTTGTACATTGAATACAACCAACGGATAGAAGTAGGAAGCAATTAAGGCTTACAGTACTACGCAGTTTTACATGCCAGACTAAACATACCGGAATTATAAATTCAATGTAGTACACAGTCAATTTCTTAGGGAATATGAATGCAAATTATTGCAGACTTTTAACACTTTATAAAATAAATTTTAGGACAAGGTTGGTCAACCTGTTTGACGATGTGGTGCAGGTGACAAGCTTCCCGGAACTCAAAATGGATTTTTGGAGTCAACTTTTGCTCACGTGCTCAACTCTTTTGGATTTTGACCGTGTTTGTTTGATTGACCCTGCGGCATTGGTAATATTGATAAACTGTTCCTTTACTGCACTCTTAGAAATGGGGTTACGATTATAACCAAAAAGTAGACGTATGCATGTGATTCTACCGCCGTGGTTATGAATTTGCGACCAAATGGTTACAAATTTAGTAGCTCTGGTGACAATTTAATACCACGTCGGTGATACTTCTTAATTAGTCGGTGACAATTGCACCCACTCGATGATAAATTCATAACCACGGCGATAGAGTCACATACGTCTACGTTTATAACTACGTCTAACAAGGGAACATACCGAGGTGTCCAACGAGTTAAGGGTCGACACCTATACCAAAATGACCACAATACATGAATTATTAAACAAACTGAAGGAATTTCCGTGTAAAATTCACTTTTCGTCAAGTGGTGACGATATTTGTGACGAGCGCGTGACTATCGGGTTACCAGCGGGAGAGGTCGGCCGCTGAACGATCAGGTCGACCACAGAGAAGCGTCGTCGTCTTCAGAGATTTCAAATTCTTTCAAATTTTGAAAACATCTTGCAATTTTGAAACAATTTTGAGAAAATTTTGAAATTTTGAGGAAAATTTTGAAATTTTGAGAAAATTTTGAAATTTTGAGAAAATTTTGAAATTTTGAGAAAATTTTGAAATTTTGAGAAAATTTTGAAATTTTGAGAAAATTTTGAAATTTTGAGAAAATTTTGAAATTTTGAGAAAATTTTGAAATTTTAAGAAAATTTTGAAATTTTAAGGAAATTTTTGAAATTTTGAAGAAATTTCAAATCTTTTTCACAATTTGAAAGAATTTGAAATCTCTGAAGACGATGTGGAGAAGACGACGCTTCTCTGTGTTCGACCTGGTCGTTCAGCGGCCGACCTCTCCCGCTGGTAACCCGATGGTCATGCGCTCGTCACAAATATCGTCACAACTTGACGAAAAGTGAATTTTACACGGAAATTCCTTCAGTTTGTTTAATAAGTCATGTAATGTGGTCATTTTGGTATAGGTGTCGACCCTTAACTCGTTGGACACCTCGGTATGTTCCCTTGTAAGTCTACGTCTATGGTTATAATCGTAACCATATTTCTAAAAGTGAAGCTTTAAATCAGTAACGTTGTGACAAATTCATCTCTAAAGTATACAAATCTTTACAGCGATTTATTTCTTATGTTTTCACAGGTTTTGAAAAATTGTGATTCACTATTTTCATTCAATCCTACCCAAATTGTATTTGGGAGTGGATTGTTTATTTTACGACCAGGCGCAGACGCTTCTGGGTATGTGCTTGACTGCCTAAAGAATGGTAAATTACATATATTAATCTGGCTTAAAATGAATTTACGAAGAAAAATTTAACCTCAACGCCGAAAGGTTTGGAATCGGAATTCACATTTCATAACTTGAAAGAACGGTTGATTAATGGATTGGTTGGCGTGTACTTGGAGAAGCAATCTTTGATGGATTTGAGAAAGGGGGAATTGTGAGTAAATATCGTGGTGAAATTTATAATTTAAAAAATATTTATAATTTTTCTTGAATGTACAGTGAACTCGTTCCATCGACAAAAATTGTTTTTCTGGACGAGTCGGTCAACCAAGTAACGGAAATCGCAAAGGTAAAACTTCGTGCATGCATTTTTTCAAAATCTGTTTACATAAATTACATATACATTATATACATATTACAATATATTTTATAAAATTGCAAAAATTACATTAAATTTATAACGTTTCCTAGGAATTGTTGGGATTTAGAGAAAAACTAAAAGAGATGACCTATTCAAAATTTCAAACTGAAAACGAACCCATCGCCATTGTTGGAATGTCATGTCGAATACCAAATTCTATGGGCGTGGAGGAATACTGGAAAACCTTTTTGGACGCTAAGTGTGTCATTCGGCCCCCTCCTGATGGGCGTTGGACTTTTGAGAAAATTGGTACTAATGAAGAGGGTCAAATGGAATGCGGCTTTCTACCCTATCCCGTGGACGAATTTGATGGCGATTTTTTTGAAATAAGTCCAGCAGAGTGCAACTTCACCGACCCACAACAACGATTTCAACTTGAAGCTTCAAGCACTAGAGGATGCAGGCATAAACCCACAATCTCTCGCTGGAAGCGTGACCGGTATTTATTCAGGATGTTGGACTCAAGACTATAATGAGTTAATACACAAATTTGCACCGCAATCTACTGGTGAGCTACGATGGTATATGGGAAACAGCTACGCAGCGGGATTCGCACGATTGGCACACACTTACAAGGTACGAGGCCCCAACCTTGGTGCCGATGTTGCTTGCTCTTCTTCCTTTGTTGCGATAGGTCAAGCAGTACACGATCTACAACGAGGGGTGGCCAATCTTGCAATAACTACTGCAGCGAACCTGATAATCAAGCCCACCTTCCAGAATGACGTCATCCTATCAAAGGACTTTAGGTGTAAAACATTTGATTCTTCTGCTAACGGATTTGCAAGGGCAGAAGGTGTTGCTGCCCTTATTTTAAAAAGATTGAGTGACGCTGAAAGAGATGGAGACCGGATTCATTCGGTCATTATGGGGTACGGTGCAACCCAGGAGGGCGAAACCAAGAGCGTGGGAACACCAACTGTTGAAATGGAAGCATTAGCAATGGAACTTGCTTTACGTGATGCTGCATTGAAGCCGGAACATATCCAAGTTGTTGAGGCACACGGGACTGGCACGGCTAAGGGGGATCCGCTTGAAATTAAGGCAATTGCAAAGGCATACTCTACTTCAAATAGGGATGATCCACTAATTATAACCGCTGGGAAAGCAAATATTGGTCACACAGAAAGCGCGTCTGGTATAGCTGGTCTAATAAAGATAACAATGGCTATGAAGAATGGCCTAATTCCTAGGCAAACCGGAATTCATAGGTTGAATCCAAAAATTAATTTGTCAATAATTCCTGCCGCAATTCCTCTGGAGGGCAATATTCCTTGGCGTCCCGTACCTGTTACACCAAAAATTGCGGGGATAAGTTCATTTGGCTTTACTGGGACTAACACCCATATCATTTTACAAGAAGCTCCAAAATCAAATTATAATGCGTTTGGCCCGGCAATGAAGTGCAATCTTGTGACAGTTTCCGCCAAGTCTGGCGAAGCTTTGTTAGACTTATTGACAATTACAAAACCCATTTGTCATATAACACACAGATGAGATTGGACGATATCGCTTACACGGCTAATGTTGGGCGAGCTAAATTTTCGAATAGAATTGCAGTCACTGCTAAGAACAATAAAGAGTTGTCCCAAAAACTGAACACTAAAAACTGGTCATCTTGGATTGTGCAGAACGAACCAAAAATATGCTTCCTTTTTCCAGGACAAGGAACCCAACATTTGGGAATGGGTAGTCAGCTTTATGACAAGTTCCCAGTTTTCAAAGTGAGATTTGTTTTTCTATTTCGTCGTAATGCTGAAGTTAATTAAAGCTATTTTTCTATAGGAACATTTTGACAAGTGTTCGCAACTGATGAACCAAATGTATGGACTTGACATCAAAACTGCATTTTGGGGAGATTGTTCATCTAAGCGTCACCAGTCGCTCTTTGCTACTTGTTCTGTGTTTGTTATTGAATATTGTTTGATTAAATTATACGAGTCCCTCGGGGTATATCCAGATCTTACTGCCGCCTCACTAATAACACTTGACGATGCATTAAAGATTGTTGGATCACGGTTCAAGCTTCTCGACAAACTCCCCGAAGGAAAAATGGTGGCTGCTAATGCACAGAATGACTCATGCCTGGAACTAATTGCCAAGTTTTTGAAGTCCCGATCTGCCAAAGACATAGACTGGCTTGACATTGCTGCACGCAACTCCGAAGAACAAACTATCGTGTCCGGGCCCCCTCTTGCAATTGAAGAATTTGCAGAATTTTGTCGAAACCATGGAGTGAGAGTTAGAATCTTGGATACATCATACCCATTTCACTCCAGAGGTTTGGATCCCATTATAACTGAATATAAAGAAGTTTTGAACACTCTTGGACAGCAAGCGGTGTCATCAGCTTGTAAATTTATTTCTAGCGTTGATGGTACGGACAGATCAAATTTATCTCCAGAATATTGGAAGTGTAACGCGAGAGACTCTGTTCAATTTATTAAAGCTGTGCAAACTATCGAAAAGCTCATCCAGGAGGATGATTCTGGCCGACAGTACATCTTTCTCGAAATGGGACCGCATCCTGTCCTTTCAGCTTTAGTTCACTCAAACTTTTCATTTACGCCTCAATGTATCAAATCCATGAAGAAAGGTTGTAATGAGATGGAGGTATTTCTACAAGCTCTTGGTAAATTGTTTGTTCATGGAGTTCAAGTCCACTTTGATAATTTTCATGACGTTCATTACAAAACTAAAGTTTCCCTTCCATTTTATCCATTCCAAAGAAAGTCATTTTGGTTCCCTTTCGAATCTGTGGATGGTTCCTCTTGTTCAAACAAAGATATAGTGCATCCCCTTCTAGGGAGACAAGTAGCACTGCCAGGATCTGGGCCCCTAAAGGCTAAGAGATTTGAACATTTAATAGCTGCTACGTCAAACCACTGGATAGGTGATCATCGTATTGGACAGTGGCTATTAATGCCAGCGGCAGGGTTCATAGAGATGAGTTTGGGGGCACATTGCCTGATGTCTGATCGTATTCTGAATCACTTCACAATTGAGAATTTTAGCATCCAAACTCCCGCCTACCTAACTCAAACCGGATCAACTTATCATACTATCTTGGAGGGTAACCTGATTAAAATTTACAGTCGGTTTGACACGGACACGTGGACCCTACATTCAGTTGGAACAGTAAAAGAATCCTCGCGGAAGGATTTAAATTGCACTGCTAACAGCATTGCACAACTTCAAGACCATCAATCCCCGCTTGAAATCTCTGCTGAAGCTATGTACGAACGATTGATCAATAAAGGATATAATTATGGAGAATCATTTCGATGCATCAAGTCTCTATGGGAGGACCAGATGTCGAACCAGTATGCAAGAATAAAACTTGACCCAGGTCACATTGGTAAGTCCATTAAAAGCTGTTTTACTTAGGAGATTGCATAAGTGAGTACCTTATTTTGCGGATGGGAAGTTCATATTTCATCCAGTTTTATTGGACTGTATCCTACAGTTTGTTGTAATGTGTATGGAAAACTCATCCAACGATGGCACCATAATGCTTCCTGTTGCAATTAGACGAATCGAAGTTCACGACATGAATCAGGTTCAAACAAACTCATTCGTCTTTGAAATTCTACCTCAAAAAATGTCATAACACAGGAGCAATGTATCTATACAATTCTACCAGCAAAACATTATTATCGATGGATGGAATTGACTTTCTTCCAACAGCTTTTTCCAGCTTGGACGAGAATATGTATGCCATCCTTAATCATGGTACGCATTGCCCCATATTTGGGCTAGAGTGGAGTAAAGATCCAATTGCAGCACGGATCATAGACCAAACCACCACCTCTTCCGGTGATGAAACAAAGAGTAGCTGGTTGATTTTTGGATTGCACGACAGCTTCACGAAAGATTTAATGTGTAAGCTCAAGGAGTCAGGAGAAATCGCTACGTTAATCACAGATGGTCCAGAGAATAGAATGTCAACGCAATGTATTCAAACGATGGGTAGCAGCAAGGAAGAATTCGTGCAGATTTTATCCAAATTTCCGGAAATCAGAGGAGCAATCTTTTCATGGGGATTTAGGTCAGTATTGGACGACGTGATAATTGAAAAATGGCTTTACCTGCTACAAGCAATCGCCGCTTACTCAGGGAGGTTCGACAAATTGCTCCTGCTAACGCAAGGGTGTCCGTCAAATAATGCTGAACTGTTCGCGCAAAAACCAGTCGCTGCCTTACTTGTAGGAATGTTTCGTTCATTTCAATCCGAAAATCCTATTATAGCCTGTAAAATTATTGGTCTGGATGCCCAAAATCACGGGGATATTCAAAATATTATTGAAGAAACTTATCAAGATCCAAATGCTACAAGTGGTGGTAATATGATTTGCTATCGAGAAGGAGTTCGGTTGACTCAAAACTTGGTGAAGTTAAAACCTCCCACCCTTCTTAAATTGCCAAAGACTTCCAGATTTAGTCTACGGCTTCCCACTTCAAATATTATTTCAGATTTAAAGTTCATGGTTATGCCTCCGGTTGCATTGAAGAAGAAGGAACTAGAAATCAAAGTCAATGCTTATTCGTTAAACTTTCGTGACATCTTTGCCGTACTTAAACCCACTGAAGCGTTTGCTAAACTCAATGTTATTGGAAGCGATTTCTCAGGAGTTATTAGCCGAATTGGAAGTCCCGTAAATAAGTATCAAGTTGGGGACATGGTGTTTGGATGTCATAACCAAAATGTGGCACTACCATCACATATTATCACTACTGAAAATGTAAGCAGTCAGAGTTATAGCATTATGAGTTTTTTTAATCTTGTAAATAATTCATTTGCTCCTGCTTAAACGAGCACAGATGATTTGCAAGCTTCCCGATTTTCCCGAACACATGAAGAAGCGTCGACACTACCAACTGTTTCATTGACGGCTTATCAATGCCTATGTACTGTGGCTAAGATTAAGAAGAGCGACACAGTACTAATTCATGCCGCCTTGGGTGGTGTAGGATTAGCCGCCGTGCAATTGGCAAATACAGTTGGGGCAAATGTCATAGCCACGGCGGGAAGTTTGAGGAAAAGAGCATACCTAACGAATATAGTTGGAATAAAGCATGTCTTCAACTCGAGGAACTTGTCCTTCGAGGCTGCCGTAAGTGCTGCAACTGATGGAGCTGGGGTTGACATAGTTCTGAACTCCTTAACTGGCCGTGGATTCAAGGAAGCCTCTCTCAATTGTCTAAAGAAGGGGGGCAGGTATACTTTGTAGGCAAAATATATGCCCACGTTAACATTTGCTAATTTTAATTTTGTAGATTAATCGAAATGAGCAAAATCAACGTTTGGACAGAAGAGGAGTGCATGTCGCTTCGGCCAGATGTGAAGTATTCCATTGAAGATTTGAGCTTATCAGAGGACAACTCAGCGCTTTCATCTCAGCTTGAAAACATAGCAACGGGGTTATGGCAGCCCTTGCCCTATGTTCACTTCCAATCACAAGAAATACGAGATGCACACTCATTCCTTGAAAAGGCGAAACATATAGGGAAAGTAGTTGTTAGTATGCCTGACAAGGAAAATAAACTATTTAATCACCAAAGCAACTATCTCATAACTGGAGGATGTGGAGGCATTGGTTGGGAATTAATGAAATGGATGTTGGAGAATGGTGCCAAGCAAATTTTCCTTATGGGCAGACGAATTCCATCGCTGGAGCGCCAGAGTGAAATTAATTACCTTAATGATCGCGGTAAGTTATAATTAAGGTTGCAAACTTTTGAGTGCAGGGTAAAGAATTTTAGCAGTTTTATCCACAAATTTGAATATTTTATGTAGGATTTCACGTAACTTGGAAACGTGGTGATGTAAATAAGCTGGCTGAATGTGAATCCGTATTTTATTGGATAAAAGAGGAGTTCCCTCAATCACCACTAAGAGGGATATTTCATTGCGCTGGAGTTCTGTCGGATGCCGTCATCCTTAACCAAACAAAAGAAACATTAGAGAAAGTTCTAAGCCCAAAATTCCACGGAGGGTGGGACCTTCACGAACTTTCCAAAACCTTAAATCTACAGTATTTTGTCCTGTTCTCTTCGATCAGTTCCTTGATAGGTACTATAGGTCAGGGGAACTATTCTGCCGCAAATTCGTTTTTAGATGCACTCTCTCATTACCGGCATGCCCAAGGTCTCCCAGCGATTTGTTTGAACTTTGGCCAATGGGGTGAAGTGGGACTGGCGGCGGGTCAAAATATTTCGGGCCTTCACCCTATGTCTACGAAGCAAGCTCTGGCATTAGAACTTGCTCTGAAGTCTAAATACATTCAACTGTGCCCAAGTTCTATTAATGTTACCAAGTTAGTTCAACGAATTCCTTGGATTGAAAACTTTTTGGCAAATATCCAAAACTCTGAGAAGAAGCATAATAGTAAAATTTTTGGGCCAAATAAATTTGATATCGTCAGTTCTGAAAAGTTTTATGTTGAATTTGATTCTTGCGAAAACGAAGTGGATCGAAACTCTGTCATTCTAAAATATTTGAGGACAATTGTATGTTCTGTTCTTCAGCTTGAGCAAAATGATTGGATAAATCGAAAATTTTCCCAACTAGGACTGGATTCATTAATGATGATTGAGATCAAGAACAAAACATCGGGTTTACTTGGTGGAAACGTGCAGATGGGTATTAACGACTTTACCGATAGCGAAGACCTCGAAAGCCTAGTCAAGCAGGTATTCAAACTTATTAAAACTAGGCACCTCCCAAAACAAGTTGCAAACACGCCCAAATAAATAAATTAAAACTCGAAAGTATTGGATCATATTTAGATGTGAATGTGATCACAAACTCATATGAAACTCATCGGGAGTTAGAGATATTGAATTAATTAAATTTCAACATCTTATTACAGATCAAGCCAATAAAGAAAGTAATTTGTATAGAAATATGTGTATGTACGAATAATCGTATACATTGATGGCAGTATTTGATTATTGTAGCTGCTTAGTTGTGCGATAATAAACGAATGACGTGTACTGAAGATTTCCAATAAATTGTATACAAAATAAATAAGTTTGCTTATTACTCTCGAATCAAAGCATGCATGCTTGCAATATATTTTGAACATATTTCATATTCGCATCAAATTGGAACTAATGGTGTGGACATTAAATGGAGAACGTTTTTTTTACCTACAAAGCTCTTGGCGGCTGATACTCTTTTTTTAAACTACCATTTTGAGTGGAAATTTCTACCCGCATCCCCACCCAAATCAATCACAGATTAAAAAATAATTTTGATTAGTCTTGTAAGAAAAATACTCGTAAGCACACAGACAGACGGATAAAAAAATTCAAGAGCTTTCATGCAATGTGGGGGAGCTATAAATTTTACTCGACGGTCTTTAAATGTTTTAATTAAATAGCACTATCATTAACATGGAAACAGAATAACTGTAAAATTTAAAGATTGAAACTGATATGTAAACACTGTAAATAAAGTTTAGTAAAATTGCCACCAAAGCAACTATTGAGTGAAATTTACCCTGACAAAGGTAAAATTTACTCAAGGTTGAAAGATTTTGCTCAACCTTGAGTAAATTTTACCTTTGTCAGGGTAAATTTCACTCAATAGTTGCTTTGGTGGCAATTTTAATCAAACTTTAATCAAATTTATTTAGAGTGAATAGTTACTGCAATCGTTTTGTCCGCCAGCATGTACATAAAGTAATTAACAATTCGAGTCAATTAATGCACATGAAGGAACAAATGCACATATATGAAAATGCTCAGATCTGGAGGTAAAGGTGAATTTATTTTTGACGAATCAGATTTTTAATAAATACTAAATTTTTGCCAAATTTCAAAACAGCAAGAAAGATACACAAAATATGAGTCTAGATAACTGTACATGTACAATTTGCATTATCGGCATTATTATTTGCATTATTTGCATTATTGCAGCTAACAAGGGTTTAAAAGCAGTTGAATTCCAGCATTTGATGGTTTGTCTCCAAGTTATAGGTTTACTGGGTGCACACAAACTTGGGTGTATTTGGGTCATTGTTCGCCAAGTTGTGCTGTGAAAATATTTAGTCGGGGGTACTCAGGTACCAACAAATTTAGAACACAAATCTTGGGAAGATACATACATTATGTCACAAAAAAGCCCATTTTTAGACCACTGCTTTATCCTACTCAGGTTAGGTTCAAGACAAATAAGATATTCGGCGACAGTCCAAAATCACTCACCCACTTTTTAATGACGTAATATATGGACGTTCCCCTATTGTGTTGTTGAACTCTGCGCATTTCAATATTAACATATCTACAAACATACACAGTGGAGTCTGGTCTTCTCTGAAAGCGTGTGGAAGAAAAGGTAGAAAAGGGACCCTGAACTCTTTCCAAAGGGTAGAAAACTAGAGTGGATCGGTACATAATTTGGGAAACTTTCCATTTACAAAACCAAATCAAAATTTCCCAAAACCCTTCACCTTGCCACGGAGCTGATCCCGTAAGCCTACGTCTGATATAACCTCTCCCATAAAAATTACTCCGGACAAGACCACTGCTAAAACAACGGTTTTGAAGAAGGATTCCAACGTGTGGATCGAAATGAAGAACGGCAGAGGTTTCTTTTTAGGCCATTTCATCGTTTTCAAGTTGTGGAGATGTTCCCGTTGCCTGATCCACAAATTTATGAACCCACCCATCTGAAGGGCATCGGTACTGCGCAGAATTTCAAGGCGTAAAATATTCTCAACATGGAAAAATATTGGTCTACTAAGGGCTATATCGTTAATAACAAAACAATCATATTCACTCTTCAATTCTTTCTTTTCCAAGGTGAGAAAGTACTTGTATGATAAAGCCTTATCTTGAACTAGGATAACTCTTCGAGAGGAATGCTTCCTGATGTAGTTAGTCATATTGTTCCAGCTGGGCCTTGTTATGGAAAACGATTTAAATTATTAGAATTATAAAAAAAAACAAATATCCTTGGCAGCCATTTATATATCTATGGTATGTACATACACTGTGTCCCAAAAGTCTCTGCGCATCACTCGCGCGCGCAGTTTTCATGCACTTTTTCCCTTACATCTTTTGTGTTTACTTTTATTCTTAAACATTTCTAGACCCAATGGCCTCAAATGTCATGCAATCTCGTGAACATACGAGTGAGGATGCAAACATTATCATAAGAAGGATATCCTGTCGAGAGCAAATACATCTGGGACACGGTGTATGCATGTACACACCATAGAACATTAACAATTATACATTTACATATTGTAATGTCTATGTACCTGATAACGATGGTTTTATCATGCGGGAAATTGCCCCACGGCTTCCGTGTAAATTCATCCACTAATAGTGCCTTGGTTGAAATTAGGTGGGGACTTTCACTCGAATCATATACAAGGGTATAACCATTATCAAAAAATTCTTCCAGGGTGCGAAATAATTTGAAAGCCGGTGGCACTATGAGATTAGACGTTAAGTAGAACTCGTATTGCGCCAGGAGCATGAAAGTTGAGAAGAACAAGGACACAATGATCCATTTGGAGAAACCTTTACTTTGCGGCTCCTGTCTAACATGCTTTACAAAAAGTACGAACACTAGCTCTCCCAAACCTTTAAGAATCTCGTAACTAACAGCAAATCTTTTAAGTTTTAATATATCCCAAAAACTTCGTAGGGAGACTGCGAGTCCGACGAAACCAAAGCCCACCAACCATACCCCTAGTGAAAATGGTGACACCCACATGGCCAAATCCGAATTTTCCGACCATACATTAAAGTTACAATAGATCGCGTCTGAGCCTGAATACCCATAAAAATACAGTGATTTAATTTGGGAATACATATACCTCATGGAAATGGAGGCCCCTCGTATAAAACCCTGCTCGAAAAAACCCCAATCTTGCGAATGCAAGTTTTTACTTGAGCTGGCAATGAAGGAAACATTTAAAATATTAGATATAGTTATGTATAGTCGGTCATGTGCGTAGCAGGTTATCGACCCTTGTGCAATATAGTATTGACCTTTGCCACAAATTCGAACTTTTCTTTCAGAATATCCTAAGTAGACTCCAATTTTGTGGTTCAGCTTACCCCAGCTTTTCTTGAACACAGTTACCGTAAGTGTCCTAACTTTGTGGGTGTATTGTACTGATTGAAATGGCTTTTTACAATAAGGGCATATAAAGAACCATTTTAGTTTAACGGATTTAAGAGTCCGGGGAAAATTAAAATTCCCTTTTATTTGTATACCAAATATTTTACGTTGCGTCCTACAATCGTCAGGGCATCTAAGTTTAATTACGTTTTTCGGGAGGTGTCTCGTCATTATGATAAGTGTTGAATGTTCCTCGTCTCGTAGAACGTCCCGGGTATTTGCGAGGTATCGTGAGCGAAATTTGTTATCATCTTTACTAAACTGTACGAAAATGGTGATCGTGCAGACCTCGTAGAATTTAAAATCAATTACATTCAATTTGTCATGTATTCTTTGATGGAAAAATTTTGGTGTTTGGCTGATCGTGTAGATAAGGGTGGCCGGATTGTTGACGTGTATGAGTTGTTCGGTCAGATCGACGTATTTAAGTTTGTCGCTCAATCTTACAAATTTTAATACGCATGGACCAAAGTGCTCAAAATTTCCGTTGCGTTTATAATACTTGCCCAATGTAAGAGACGTAATTACAAGGAGGAGGGGTGCAAGTATGGTTTTTTGGAACATTTTGTATTGCAAATTAAACCTGTCTAGCTGTCTACTATATAGTTTTGTCTGTATTTGTAAAATCAACGATAGAAAACTACTATGCTGGTTTATTTGTGCATATTCGCAATGGGTTGTTCTATACGAAGTATGTATTGAATCAAATTGTCTTTCCTACAGAACAAATCTGTTTTTATACGATTTAAAACTAACGGTTTACACATATGTCATCTTGTGGCTGTCTTAACTCATCTATGTATTTTCGATGGATCCGAATATGTTTAGGATGGTTCACTTAATGAAATTGGTTTTGTTCTGCTTATTCTATACATTCCTTGCTGCATGCAACCAGAAGTTTTTTACTTGAATTTGAGCACGTTGAATAATTTAGTAACACTGTACAAATCGATAAAATTTGCTAACAGACCTACAATACATACATGAAGCTGGAATCTACGTTTGAGCAATGGGATGCCTACGCGAATTTCTTCAGCAGAAGGGGAAGAAATGCATGCAGCATGTCTGAATTTCTGGAGCATTTAATGCTCCAGAAACTCAGAGCATATGCTACACAAATATTCGAAAGCCTTAAAAAGCATTTGTGTATTACTATTTTAACAATGCTATCTGAGATGACAAATAAATACAAACATGAAGAAAATCTTAGCAAAACTAGTGTTTTATTAATGGTTTGTTCAAGGAAACTTGCAAAGGCGTATTTTAGTATGTATTTACTTGTCGCGTTTGTCGTAATAAAAGTAGAAAATTTACAGAAAAAGCGGAACTCGAGAAATATTTGGACATGAGGCATATGTAGGAAATTTTTCCGTGTGTCCGGTGTGTCATTGATTTTGCTGGTCACGATGAACTAGATTCGCACACTATTAGCAGATCCAGTCACCCGGATAAGGATTAAAATATGTAAATGTTCCATCAGATGGAAAGACTTCGTTTCATAAGCATTTTCTAACTCGTCATGAAAAAATGCAGAGGGAATGTTCAACAGTCCATATCATTTGATTTTAGTCCACGAATCTTGGAAAGAAAGACATCATATCGGTTACATCTTTTCTCACACACATGTTACAGCCATTTTCCATATACAGTATGTAAAATTATTATGGCCCCGCAGAGAAGAATTGGAATTGCTTGTTAATCTATGGGTAAAATAATTTCAAATTTTGCACAGCTGAAGTCCAGTATAATTGTCAACGGATGCCGGTCAAAATTTGAAAAAATCTCAACAAGGTCATAGTTTTTCACCTAAAAAGTTTTCAGCTACCATAAGCATTTTTTTAAGTTTTATTTTTTATTTGGTATCCCAATCAATTTGATGTATGTATTGCTCAGGTCCTTACGATGGTTTTTGACGGCCCAGGAATTTTTCCCCGAAGGGCTCGAAACAATTTTCCTCCATAAAGCCAATCTTATAACTTCAGAAAAAAGTGTCAATTTATCAATGTGTTTTCAATTTTAATATTCAAAGTTTTAATTCCACGTCTCGACGCTGCATATGTGTTGTACTGGTTTTGTAGGTTCGAAGCCGTAATATTGTTAAAGTCATGAGGTTATAGGCTAGTTGGAATAAGGTTCAAAAATCATGTTGGATGAAGTGGAAATAAAGAAAGACAGTAAGAACACAAGGCAGTTTTCAGAATTGCATGCATTTGTAGATGATAATATAAAAGTACTTACTAGGGACCCTTCCAAGGTGCCGGTCGAACCCAGGGTTCCCACCTATACCAAACTATGCACAATGCATGACTTCTTTGGCGAACTGAAAGAATTTCCGTGTAAAATTCACTTTTCGTCAAGTTGTGACGATATTTGTGACGAAGGTCTGACCATCCAGGGCCATCAGTTTCCAGCTTGAGAAATACGACTCCGCCCACATTCTCCGACATGCTGATTTACAAACCCATCTTCAAAACTCACCAATATTTTGATAACCTTTTGCTGTTCACATTTATTTTAAAAAATTACACCAAATTTTTTCGAAATTTCAAAAAAAATTTAAAATTTTCAAAATTTCTAAAAAATTTCAAGATTTCAAAAAATTTTGAAAATTTCAAAATTTTTTAAAAGTTTTAAAATTTTGAAAAATGTGCAGTTTTTTTTTAAATTTTTGAAAACTTAAATGCTATGAAAACAATTTTGGGTTATGATTCATAACCCAAAACTGTAATAATCATTGGAGTTATATCTCCAGCAGGACAGGCAAACGCTATTTACCAATTGAAGCACCAGTTTGACGTTCAAACTGACTACAAATACAACATGCCGTTCGCAGAATGCATCCCCCTCATTCAATTTCGTTTACGGCTTTGCAATTTTTTGTAATGTATTTTCTTTGAATTCAACACATCTTCAAGGCGTTTCTCAAAATGTGCATCCGCAAGAAACATGCGTATGTTTCGGCTTCAGTGCGTCCTGTGTGTTTTCTATTGTACGGCAATGCTACTAAATCAGGTTCTTGACAAGGCTTCTGTGATCGAAAAATGGCGAGGGATCTATTTCCTCGTAATGCACTTCACGGCAGCTAGCTTGCGCTGGAAGTTTGGATTTAGTTGCTTTGCAAGCGATTAATTCTCTAATGGATTTTGATGCTAAAATCAGTCATGGTAACAACTGATTATTAGTTTATTTCATAGAAATTTTCATTAGGAATTGTTGTAAGGTTAGTATTGTTGTAGCGTTCGAACCACGGTCAAGGTCCCTTCGAGAAAAGACTATGAAAACGTTTATGTTGGAAGCAGCAATTACAATCGTTCCGTTTCTTCAGCTCGCTCTTCTTATATTCCTCCCTTGCACCAAGCCCTTCTTACTATCGATGCTGCCCACGTGTAAGTCAACCTTTGGTCAAAAAGAGGAAACAACTGGATTGGAATTCAAGCTGTCGTTCAGGCTTTGGAAACTTGGATGGTATGGCATGAGATTGTCTCTGGAACCCTTGAGATCGTGAACATTGGCTATGTGGGAATACTTTACTTTTTGAATTATTTCCACATCATGATTCTAGAAACCTTCCTTAGCCTTAACTAAAAGTGTAATAATAAATTTCGACACACACTACTTTCGACTTGAGAAATAATAGTTATGATGCTTGATACGATGCTTGGTATCATTTTATTAAGATACATATTTAGAAATATGGATATTCAATAAAAACAATACATATTATTGATTTACGGCTCGCGTTGATTATACTTTTTTTTTTTACATCTGCACCTTTGTGAATTTATTCTCGTTTCTTCGTGCCCCAATCCACTTAACAACTTGCCAAATAATAAACACAATTATCGAAAATTCCAAAATCGTCCAAAATGAAATGTAGAATGGCCATTTTTCATCCTGAATTTCATCCCTATTGGATAATCCACTAGGAAAGTTTGAATCGCCTTGATTTGGATTTGAAAGTGTTCCATACCCCAAAAACGTCACGTTGGATAAAATCTGATTGAACGTGCCGTTATTTTGAAATTCCAGTGTCCATGTCCCAATTGGGTTTTCACCCCAAAAATGAACCGTCATGAAGGGCCAGTTAATAAAACTTTTACCAAATATGTCTCGCGGGCGGGGTGTTAATACGGTAGATATTGTGCCGGATGGCGAAATTATGACCATCCCAAGATTCCCGCGTTGATTAGACCTTGTACTTACTATCAATTGGACGTGCTCAAGATGCCCCACATTTGGGCAATTTAACCCCTCCAATTTGAATTTTCGTCGCAATGTGCCATATCTTGCGATAGTTTCCTCACTATCTATCCGTATAACGGGTACCTGGCATACGAACCGTTCAGAAACACTGATCCATCTACGAGCTAGTTTGACCATGGCACCAGCATCCATTAGTCCGAATCCAAAGAAGTTACTGTACCTCAAACCAGCTCCGTTAGTAGCCCAGTCTTGGGAAGTTAAAGGTGCAGAGCGGGATGTTCGAACGATTATATGCTGAACATCACGCCACGTCAAGGTAGGATTGGCTTGCAGGGTTAGGGCTAAAATTCCTGCGGCGATCGGTGCCGCAGGAGACGTACCGTCGAATGAAGAAGTACATTTTTCTCCTATTGTCGTTGTTGTAATGTTACGATCGTTCGCCTTCCATGAATCAGAACTATATGTCGTAGCGAGACTTGGGCTACAATGTTCCGCATACCAGGGAACCGTTCCCCGTTCTGAGGCAGTGCTAATTGAAATGGTGTACATTGAATTCACATATCCATCACAATTGCAGTTATCGCCCCATCGCCCGCCAGTCCCAGATGCCCACACGAATATAGAACCTAATCCGCCCCGCCCTTTGTTTACGCCATGAAAGATTGCGTTCCGTGCTAGCTCACCAGGTCCATCCACGGTTCGGCCGTAATCGTCAGGTCCCCAGGATGCGGAGTAAATGTCGATGTGTTGATTATTATGGGAGAGTGAGGCCGCTTCAACTTTATCCAATGGGGTTGAATTCATTGAATTCAACATTCGTATACCGCCGATGGATGCTTCGTATGCAATTCCAACTCCACAAATACTGTTATTAGCTTCCGCCGCGACCACACCTGCGACAATAATATGTAAAATTGGTGAATACTGCTACCGAAAAGTGGGCACATTCTTAAAAAACTGACCGGCACATCTAGTCCCTTGATAATTTGAAGAATCACTGTAATCTGGGGTTGGATCTGGATCGTTGCTCACATAATCATAACTGGCTAATGGGTCGTAGTTCTTGCTAAGGTCTGGGTGTGAGATTTCCAAACCGTCGTCCAGTATGCTGACGACAACACCCTTTCCAGTAAATCCTTCATTCCATGCCTCAATAACGTTCATGTCCTGGCCTTGTCCCCGATTCAGGTGCCACATTTTCTCCCACTCCGGATCACTGAAGGTGTACTCATTTCTAAATGAATCGTCATGTCTTGTACTCGACCATGAATCTCGGCTCGCAATATAATTTCGGCTCGTTCTCCCAATAAATTCATTCGCTCTGGTTGTAGCGGAATACAAAACACAAATTATAATTGCAATTCGAAACATTGCAAATTAAGTGGTTTTGCCGTTGTAGATGTCTATTGTGGATCAGTATCTATAAAAATAATAAAATAATAATAGTTCAATAGAAGCTATCGATAAATTTGAAAGTGCATGTGGTCTTGCGTTTTATTAGTTTACCAGTTCCGTAAAATTATTCTATATCGCAAAAAATACGTCAAAATGTTGAACGTAAGGATTTATAATTCTAGTTTTAGATTGATAATCACGCCCTACATGGATTATAACACTGCGCGTAATAATGATTCAGGTCTACTGCATGGTGCCAACTACGTCGTAACTGGAATGAGGTATGATCTCACCCGTCAACGTTTTCCGTCTCGTATCAGTCACTCTTCTCATTAATTGTACTCTCTGCTGATTAGATTTGGCAAACAATGCACGAGCATTCAACCACCATGGACTTCCAACCTTGACATTTTACACCGTATCAATTAAAAATTTGAAAATTCCCTCATCCTCATCCTGTTTTTTTTACCCAAAATGTTGCTACCTCAGAAATTATAATTTGTAAAGTACCAACGAAATCCAACACAATAAACATACTCTGTAATAATCGTTATCTGAATGTTATTAATTTCTTGTTTATTTATCAGACTTTATTTACTTTTCGGCCATCCTTATATACAGATGACAAAGTTAGTGAAGGAATAATGTCCTCATTTAATTTTGCATCCATCCATATCATGGTTATAAGCAGGAAAATATTCTGCCCCATGTACTTAATTGATGTAAATTATGTACAAGTATCAACAGTGATAGTTGACAATATCCTACCTCCAGGCTCGAGTACATACATGGTAGTAAGATGATGTAACTAAGTACATATGTTTGCTTATGCATTTTTTGCTCAGTACTAAAAATGCAGTGTGAATATCAGACACACTTATTAAGCATTATTGTAATCCTGACTCGTGAGACATAATTCGATTCCCATGCAACAATCCGGAATCGAGTGCTAGGAAAGTGTGCAAATTTGGAAGATTGAGCGAGCTCGAATTATATCTATTGCTTCCAAATACAACATTAAACTAATCTTTTTCTTTTTTTTCCTTTTAAGAAAAAGGAGTATCTAATTTTAATAATCGTACCATATATAAAGGGTGTTAATAAAGTCCGATCCCATTTTTCCTATAAAAAAGTGAAGGCTAGTATAAAAAAAACTACCCGTGATACTTACAAAAAATGTTCGACATATTTACCTTAGTATTTGGTCTTGTTACCATTTACTTTAACCATGCCCTCAACTCTTTGTTTAAGGCTCTGTGCTAATTTTTCCAATGTGTCTGTGGGAATCGAATTCCATACATCTTGAACTTTTTTTACTAGCTCTTCCCTCGTCCGGGGTTGTGGTTCTTTGTATACATTTTCCTTAAGTATGGACCACAGGTTCTCCAGGGGATTCAAATCTGGGCTGTTTCCGGGCCACACCCCCTTGCTCCAGACCGTTGAAACTTGCGTCTTGATGAGACTCAAACTCGCTTTTGCTGTATGGGCTGTAGCACCATCCTGCATGAAAACTATTTTTCTTTCATTCGGAAATATTTCCTTGTTCCCCATGCTATCGAAATAGATAGGTAATATTTTTTCCATATAATACTTTGCATTGACTGTTTGGCCTTTTGGTATGATATGTAGAGGAGTCACGCCACGTGCACAAAATCCACCCGCTACCATAACTTTAAGCCCGAATTTTGGGACTGCTCTTGATGGTACATCCGATTTGTTTTCTGTCCTGTAACGAACATTTTGTTGGTTCAATTTTGGATATAGCTCAATAATAGATTCGTCAGTCCAAAGGATGTGACTGCGCAATTCTTCACCAAGTCTTTTTTCACTCAAATGGCCACTTTTCTGAAGGAGTTCTCCAAATTTCAGACGGTCATCGATATTTTTTTGTGACATGAGAGGTTTTTTGGTTAGTTTGTAAGCTGTGTGACCCCACCTCGTAGATTTCACAAATTTTTGCACGGTCACATAGTTAATTTGCTTCTTCTTCTCTTTATAGCGTTTTGAGTCATTTAACTCCCTTGCACAATTACGTAATGAACTACCGGTTTTCTTGTAAAGTCTGTTTTTAATCATTCTCTTTGTGGTAGGTGACACCTTTCTGGGTCGCCCGGGTCGCTTTTTGTCGTGGACAAAATTTTTGTTCTTCCATTTCCAAACAGTTCTGCGGCTGCAGCCCAATTTTTGCACAATTTCTGCAGGTTTAAACCCCTGCTGATGCAATGTTTGTATCTTAACTCTAAGATGCTCATGACTTACACGTTTAGTTGTTCCTCCCATGGTAAAAATTTGAAATAAATAACTTCACTGGTTCAAAAGTTCCAGCTGAATTTGTAACAACCGCGCTCCAAAAAATGCATGGGATCGGACTTTATTAACACCCTTTATCATCATTGACACATTTGCACTCGTCATTTATGACTGTGAACTTGTTCTATACTTGAATAAAGCATCAATCAATCAACCAATCAGATAAATTACAAATAAATAAGATACACCAAGTTAAAAAATTTGTATATTAATAGAAACACACTTTATTTTAAATATCTTACTTTGCTTACTTCAAATAATTAACAACGACACTGAATATTTTTACCTGTTTTACTTATTATTAATATTACTTTCGTGAACATTTTATATTAAGATGAAAACATTGAAAACATACGGAACATTGAGCTATTTGCGTCTCAAATTGTGTTGACTAACGGCCGTATTCTTAATGCAAAATTTTTACCCTGAGTGCGAGTGGCCACTCCCACTCACCATGTTATAAGATAGGGAAAGTGAGTGGCCACTCCCACTCACACTCAAAATTTTGCATTAAGAATACGGCCGTAAAACTTGTATATTTCCAAGGTGACCCAAAATCAAAATATATCTTAGTTTTTATTTTTCAATAGAATATCATATTCGAAGTTCTATATACATAATCTATCAAACTGGATGTTCGAAATGGTGAAGTGTATGTATGAAAGTAATGAATACCGATGTATATATATGGTAAGGCAGTTTCCGTGCTTCACTGTTATAAATTGACTATTTTCTACGCATGGATATGGATTTGAAAACTAGAGTTTACAATATTCTATAATTGTAGACTACAATTATGCATAGAATCAGATACTCGCCGAGAAGGATATTAAGATACAAGCAGGAAAGATAGGGAAAAAGTGTGATTTGACAAGGTGGTTTAGCAAACGTCAAAAATATTCAAAGTCACGCGGGTTGTCCACCTCACTCAGGATGCAATGATTAAACAAAATATCTTTCGGCTAAACGGGTAACGCAACCGCTGATCTATATGCAACACACGGTATCCTTACTTTTGTCCCTAGTGTTATTCAATTATTTACGTAAAATAGATATATAATTAAAGCTATGACTAAGATTATCTTATATGCAATTACCGAGGGTGGCTTACGCTATTTTAGTAAAGCTAAAAACTGACCTTAAAAATTAAGTCAAGCCATACGCTTGCTCCGCTTTTGTTTTTGTTTCGTATGTTCAACGTGTTCCCAAGGCCTCTAGCTAACTTGCCTACATTGCCGTTTCCACGAATCAATTACTTTTCCTATATTTTCGAGGGTAATCTTCATCCACTCATCACTAACTTTTTTCCAAAGTCTTCCAAAGTTGTCCCTCGTGTGGAATGAAGCTTCTGTTTGAACGGTCCAAAGCCATAAAAATCAAAAGGACTGGCATCAGGACTCTTCACAGGTATCTCGGAGTTAGGAAAAATTTAAGTCCCATACTTTTGTTTTTATTCGGCTGCATACTGTGTCGTTTTCTGAGACGCATTCGAGGAAGCGGCGTCATGATGGACAAACAGTTTGTCCGTCTCACCAGGACGAAACTTTAAAACTTGTTTTCCCAAAATTGGTTCTAAAACCTGCCAATATCATAGTCTGCATTTATCTTCACTTTTTCTGGAACTTTTATCAGACGCAACACACCACGCCCACTCATAACAGCGACCACCATAAATTTTTTGCAAAACTTCTCTTTTTTTCATGCAAAAATTCGGCGTCAGATTCTCCAGCCTTGCAGTAACATATTTTTCTTTCTCCATTACAATTTTGAACATAACAAAGGGCCTCATCAAAAATTTTAAAAAATTCCCATATTCTTCTCACATAGCTTCTCCTACAACTTACCAAAGTTGGTCACCCGGTTTTGCTTGTGAGTAGCATTTAGTCTGCGAACTTGGGTCTTTTTCGTCACCTTTTTTTGAAGTTTGTTCTTAATGGCCGTACTCACGTGTGACTGAGATATTTTCACGACTTTTGCAATTTGCTTTTGGTCGAAAGGTTTTGTTTCCTCGTCAGGGCGTTAATTCTTCGAAAAACGGTACGCGACACCTTTTTTTGGGGCTGAAACTCTTTTGGTGATAGAAGTCCTGCTAATTAAGATTTTCTTCTAATTCCAACGGGATTAACTACATTAGACACTTTTCTTCGAGAAATACTATATCCGGATGATTTCAACTTGTTAAAAAATTTTGTGTGTGACATTATTCCTTCGGAAAAGTGCTTGATGAGATGGTCGACTTCGAGGGGCCATATCTTTGGCATTTTTCTACCAATTTCTTCGAACCAATTTTTGTATAGACCTCTGACAACTCGACTTTTATAAAAAAATATATAAATACGCAAAACTACTTTTGCGCGGAATTAGGTCAGTTTTTAGCTCTACTAAATAAGGATAAGCACCCCTGTAAGGTAATGGTCCCATCGTTTACATCGTTTGCAAATTTACGGAATCACGATAACAAAGTTAATGGGCTTCATTAAACTAAGGTTAAACGAAACCTACATATTTTACACTAATTTAGAGATTAAGCTGACTGCGAAATTACTAAATGTGAAATCTTCGTATTACCCAATCACTTACAAATCTTTCGAATTATAAAAAATATGACTAATGAGGGATACCTTTTTGGTGCCATGAGCTCCCAGCATAACCATTATATACATTCGACGTATTTTTTAATACTAGCAGCGGCGTACCGCTAGTGGTATAAGGTGGTATGGAAAACCAGGCCCGGGCCCGGGGACGCCTCGACGTTTACACTAGATATTATTCAACCAGCAATGATAATTCATTTTCACCAACAAGGAAAATTCAGAAAATTTTGAACTTGAAACTATTGTAAGTTCAAATGATTTCGCAACTTTGAAGTCCATGCCTTTTTTACTTTGTGAGAAATTTTATTTCAAAAAATTTGGAACTCACTGAAAGTTTCTAAATTTTATTAAAACAAAAAATTCAAAGAAAAACAATTCATCAACAAATTGTTTTATTAAACTGCGATGGTGGGAAAGTGAATGCATGAAGCATGCATTTGTCCATATTTTGAATTGTATGTTTGTCAGCTTGCCACTGAATTTGTAGATAAATTATTTGGTTAAGCTGCGATTGCTTTAAATTTGTCGTAATTTATAGCATATAGGAAACAAATCTTTAATAAGAGCTAGACACTTGAGAGGGTTACCTCGTAAACTCAAGTTGTGAATTTTTGTACCCCAAACATTTACCGGGTATTCAAATCAATGTTTATATGCGGGATCTTTCTTATCATTAAATATTCTATAACTCTTGAATTATTTTGTAATAAAAGTTAGACTATTTTCATATTTTTAATGAATAATTTATCATGGGAGACAAGTTACCTGGGGAGTACAAGTACGTATGTGGCAGCGACAAGCGCAAAAAGAAGCAAAAAGACCAAGAAACTGTTGCGAAATTGGCAGAACAGTCTGTCAGATTTTTCAATTCATCCCATGTGCTGCCCACTCGCTCAATTTGGTAGGGGTAAATGCTGCCGAGCGTGTGCTTCAAGCAAAACTATCACTTGGTCAAATCCAAACCATCTTCATGTTTTTCCATGCTTCGACTCAGCGGTGGCAGGTGTTGAATTCAAAATTAAATTATCATCTTAAAGGGCATTGCACAACTCCTTGGTCATCAAGAGCTGAATCCGTCCAAGCATTAGCGACGCAATAGGGAAATGTGATCGAAGCTCTAGTCGAGATAACTACAAATGATAACTTCAACGCGGATTCGGTTGCGGGGGCCGATTCACTCCTTAACACAATGCTAACCTTCAAGTTTTTGTTATCAGTGAAGATTTGGAATCATATTTTGCACAACATCAACATTTGCAACCTTACTTTGCAAAAGCAGAGTAATAACTTGGCCATCGCTTCGAAGAAATTGGAAGCACTTCTCTCCTGGCTAAAAGAGTTTAGAATAAATGGATTTGAAGAATGCTTATCGGAATCAAGTACACTGGCCGAAGATTATGACATCGACATTAATTCTGGCTTCATCGATAAACGGCAAACCAGAGGAGTGAATCGAAAAAAATTGGGGGAATTATCTGAAGATATCGCCAAAGAACTCACCAATCTTCAAAAGTTTAAATTAGAATTTTTCAACGAGTTACTGGATAATTTGATTTCAGAAATGAGTTCCCGATTTGCTCAGTTAAGGAAGTGTGAAGAAGATTTTGGATTTCTTTGGGGGGCTGGACTTTCTGCTGGAACTAACGACAACTCTCTAAAATGTGTAAAAAATTTGCGCTTAAAATATCCTGGGGACTTTGACGAGAGTAAATTCAACAATGATTTCAAATACATACAGCATCAGATATCTGCACTGTTACCCGACGGGAGACCCTTGTGTGATACATCTCCACTAGAATTACTTCAGATTATCTATCAGCACGAACTAGAATCATGCTTCCCAAACGTCGCGTGTGCCCTTCAATTTTTTTAACCCTTCCTGTTACTGTTGCCCAAAGTGAGAGATCATTCTCCAAATTAAAATTAATCAAGAATTATCTCCGCTCATCGATGAGTCAAGAGAAGTTATCAAGCCTAGCCATTCTTTCAATTGAACACCGGGTTACTGATAATATTTCATTTGACGAAATGATCTCCGTATTTGCAAACACAAAATGTAGACGAGTCTCGCTGGAGTAATTGGCACGTTATATCTGTTGGTCTCGCAGTTTAATTTTATTTGCATTATAAATAAATCAAAGTAGATCTTAATGAGCACGGCGTCCAAATTTTACTTTATTTTATAATATCTGATGAAATTTATGCATAAATCATTCAGCATGAATACAAGGTGGGATCTATTACAATCAACACTTGCAATAACTCATACCTTTGATATAGGATACAATTTTGGAATGAAATTTACTTAACAAACTTGGTACTGAATCTAATGTTTCATCCGGAGTCCATCTTAAAAATATTTCCATAATTACATTAATCATAAACAATGAGCAAAAAGCTGTTTGTGGATACAAAATATAAAGTCAATCAAAGCAGGTCGAGTCGATGGCAAAGATTTGGAAATTGAAATACAACTTTTAAAATACGACCACCAAAGCTAATGCCAAGGAAAAAAACCTCCAGCTTTAAATCTTTATGATTAAATGCATTCAAAATTAGCTAAAATTGACCCAAAAAATTCAACCATAATATAGGCACGTTAGTTTTATGAGTACTACGTTTTACTTAATCAGTCGCCTGATAAAATCGCTTCTTTCTTATTCAGCTTTTTTATTATTCCGTTTTTTAATAACGAATAGCTATTATATTACATCTGTGGGAGCCTAAAGTTCGTCTACTTGTTAAATATATAATGATGTGCTTAGATGTATATATGTACAAATACATACATACATATGTACATATATACATATGTATTGTTTTTTGTTACTCACGAAAAAGTGATTGGAAGCTAAAGCTGCGGCTCCCTTATGATTGCTTTCAAGGAAAAATCACATTACATGGAATGAGTGGAGAATGGATTGATTAGGAAACATGAAACACTTTTATTATAAGAAGGCGTACGATACTAATTGCAAATTACAACTTTTAATTCAACAGAGTGTGTTAGTATGCAGACGCAACAAAGCTTTAACCGCTTAATTGTGGAATAAGTTCGCGTTAAAATTCATTCGATTTAATAAGTTTATTAAAGGCCCGGACCTAGGAAACATACCAGGCCCGAGAATTTGACGGTACGGCTCTGGTGATTGTCAAATATGTGAAGGATGTTAAGGATACGGAGGTCATTGTTAATTTAAAAGATTTTATTACGTTTTTTGCCTAGCTCATAACAGCTATTTTTCATTATTTTAGAAACAACCAGAAAGTGCAAATTCAGTAATTCTAAGGGTAGATTCTATTCTGATGGAACTCCGCCCAACAATGAGGGGGCGAACATTCAGCTTTGCCAAAGGATGGACAAGATGTCAAGGATTGGATTTCCTTTGAGTTTCATCCTATTCAACGCAGTATTCTGGCCATGCCTTATGTACGGGGCTCAAAATTCTAGTCATTGACAAGGGGCTTGCCAGCATAATTATATGCAAATGAGTGGGTACAGAAAACATGGACGGAAAGGACCCTCTAGACTTATAGGCAAGATATGTAGGGCTAAAATTCAACAATTTGTATGGACACATACATAACTTTCCAATAAAAACTTTTTTCTGCATTACACGCTTATCCAGAATGGGGAAGGTACAATTTTTACGTCATATACAAGTACACTGTGTCCCAAAAGTATCTGCGCATCACTCGCGCGCGTGGTTTTCATCCACTTTTTCCCTTACATCTTTTGTGTTTATTTTTATTCTTAAACATTTCTTGACGCAATAGCCTCAAATGTCAGGCAATCTCGTGAACACACGAGTGAGGATGCAAACATTATCATAAGAAGGATATCCTGTCGAGAGCAGATACATTTGGGACACGGTGTAGCAATTTAATACCTTAAAAATGAATGGTAAAAACCTTAGTTTTATATTTGAAGATGTACAACTCCTGACTTTGCTGGATGTATAATACCACATTTCTGAAATTCTCTGCATGGAACCAAAACTCAAAGGTATATATTGCTATACAAAGCAGATATCCCCAATGTATCAATGCACGAAAGTAAAGAACTGGGTCTGCATCTCTGGTCAAAGTCGAAAAATCAAATCTCCTAGATGCGGCAAGGAAGAACATGAAGCTGGATAGAGTCAGGATGGCACAAATAACCTGACAAATGCTTATTATATCTCATTGTAATAAATTATTATTATTATTATTATCAAAATTATGCAACTTGTATTTATCAGAATACCATAAATTTACCTTTTGAAATTTGTTTCTACAAATCGTAATTTCGAAGTGTGTTCCATCTGCTGATGGCAGGTTTGCTCTTCCTACATCAACTCGAGCGAATCGAAATGGTACAATTCCGATATAATACCCAATTGTACAAGATATCCATAAGAATTGACTCGCATTTGACAAAGCAGCAGCTTCCATATTGTATTCACTAATTTGCACAATATTAAATTCAGGAGCCACTTGGATACCTTTGAATTCACGATTTTTCTGGATCATAATTTTCCTTAGGGCTTTTTGTATCAAATTTCTATCGGACTGTATCGGAATTTTTATGTCGAATGTCCTGTTCCAAATAAGATTGTGAATTATATATGGCTTCAAAATAAGATTGGCCGTATGGAATCCAAATGGGACCAACAGTAATTAGATATTCAGTAAAGGGCTCATAAATACATACAATATTCTTACATGAGTTTAATGTTTATATGAAATCCTCGTGTATGCCAGAGTTTTGGGGAATCGCGTGTTCAGGTGACTATGTAATTTTAGTCCTCACCTGAACACGCGATTCCAGTTAAATATCATACAAATTAAATATCATGCCAGTGTTCGAAGCGTAATTACTAATCGGGCGTATCCACTTAACCTGCCTAGTATTTAATATGAATTGTGATGACAACATGTTGGCGTTCTTGGTCTGCAGACAAGGTCCCCATCCCATTTTCAAATATTGTGATAGACGTCGGTGGCGTCGTGGAAGACGTCGATTCATTTGAAACGATGATAACTAATGGATGTGGACGACACAACATGGTCTGCCTGTGTATGAAAGAGCAGGAGAAAAATTCACCATACATGTCTGGATTTGAAATTGACCTTCACAACTACCAAATTATGCAAGGTTACTCCTGCCTATTTGATTCCTCTAGTCATAAAGCTATCCGAGCTCCTAGCGATGACAAATCCTGTGAAGGAAAATGGGCCAAATTCCTTCAAGAGCAGAAGTCCTGTAAGACTTGGACTGCGGCCCTAAACAAGTTTACTGCCAGGTATATAAATATATAAAACTGTCAGTCTAGACATCAGCTGAAGGTCTGCTTCTTTGGTTGCAAAAGGCAACTGAATATCTGCAGCTTTCAGACATGAAAAGCTGTACTTCTGCAGCAGAAAGTTAACATCATGCTGCCACTAAAGGCAACTGATAGCACGGACAAAAAATGTACTATTAACGTTGAACTATGTTTCGTCAAGAAGAACCTTGTTTATTGTAAATTTATTTTACACTTTGTCTCAAAAGTAAGAGATAATATTTTAAAAAGCTCGCATTAATTCGTTTGTTCTGTGCCATGAAATTTTACAATTTTGTAAGTAATTTATTACCACATATTCCCACAAAGTTTCATTGAAAACCGAACTAACAATGCGAAGCCGTGAAGTGATACGCTCCAAATTGAAGCGGACCAACTTTATTTTATAGTCCCCCTAATACTATTGAACACGTGTTTCGTCATTTGCCAGAATGCGCGAATTTAAGCGCTTGGCGGGCATTTCAAATATGTTTTCAGCCAAAACATCCGATATTAAAATGGCTATAACTTTTTGCGTTTTGGCACGAATACTAAAAACTATGTTTGCAGAAATAACTAGTCTCATGTTGTCCCAATAAACCCCGACTACCCCAATAACCCAGGGTATCGTCAGTGGCAAACCCCTGGGGTTGAAGGTAGAGTTTTCTCTACTCTGTTCTCCTTGCCACCCTACCTGAACTAATCAGCAGCAGATTTAAGGTCTGATTCAGGCAAAAGTCCTGAATTACTAGTGGGGTCCCATTATCGATAAAGTTTGAGCCAAATTTGATCTTTAGTACGCCACAGGCCTTTATCTCTCTCGCTAAAAGGGACATTTTCCCACCAAATCCTGTTGTATTTCGGACCTGCAGTTGAAGCGTTTTGGTCGATCTGAAATTCACCCAGGAGGCCAAAGTGAAGACGAAAACGTTAAATATCCCAGTGTCGAGCAGAATGAGGGGAAATATGAGAAATCCTGGCATTGGAATGTTCCCATGAAGTTTGACGCATACGTACTGACAGATAATTTGCAACATGGGGGTGCAACATATCATCGTTGGCACTATGCGCACCGTGAGGAATCCATTCAAAAATTTTTCCAAAATTTGAATACACCGGTACAGTTTCACGCAGGCTAGATGTTCGGAAATGGTTTGAGATTTTCCAATTCGCCTGCAATAGAAAAGTAATACATAAAATAGGGGTGGAATTATTTGCGACTGGTTGTCAACTCATTTGCATATTTGGAATTTTGTGTGACCGACAGAATTTAGATATTCAATATTGGAACGGAGAAAGTATGTAGCGCAGAAAATGAGTATAATGGAATATATGCAAATACGGTGAAAAACCTTAATTGTTTCTGGTACACTTTAAATAATTAGGATGTAAATCGACACATTCGAAATGGCTATAGTGCAATATTTCAAGATTATGAGGATTGATTTAAGTCACATTTTTTCACCAAGGGGCAAATATATATCCAATACTTGTGAACCAAGCTGATGTGTGCTTACTGTTTAAACTAAGCTACGTCTGTGTAAAAAAATCGCATATTTTGGTCATATCA